AAGGGTGGAACAGCGCTACAATAAGTGATCACAAGGGGGCTGCACACCTGAATAAGAAGGTAATCCTCAAAACCTTCAAGGATTAATCGAACAAGTAGAACAAAGGAGACAGGTAGCGCCAAAATAAATACAATATTGTGGTAAGGATTCAAAAAAAGGTACCAATCATCTTATTCAACATTTGAAGACTTTTAAAACCTCAAAAGGACATTTTTATCTTTTACTTGGTACCTTTTTTTGACTACTTACCACAATATTGTATTTATTTTGGCGCTACCTGTATCCTTTGTCTGTTTGTGTGTTGTCTGTTTTTGTATGTCCCTCGATAACCAGATATTAGGATTCCTGACTGCAGATGTAGATAAGGAATAGAACAAAGTATTATTAGACTTTAGAGTGATTGGGTTTAACAAAGATACCGCAATCTGACTAAAACCACAAACAGACGGGATTCCAGAGGATGGGTATGTCAGACTAGCCAAAGTTAGGACAGGCAGCAAACTAGGTCAAAAACAATCATGGTCAGGCAAACAGTATAACAGCAACAATAATAAGGATCACCAATACAGGATTAGGTTTTAAATAGGCTTAGGTCTAGTGCATCAAATGACACATAAAGATGCGACTATCCACATCAAAAGTAGATGCTGGAAACCATTTCCGAGTCAAGAAAAGGATGTGAGGCGCCAAATGCATCAAGTAAAAGGCATTGAGTATCGAGCATCCACTGTCAGACATTCTGATGGCGCAAGCGTGGATGTGTGGCATTTCTTAGAGTCCCAGCCTAGCATGGACCCCTGTATATCATCTTTTTGTCTACACAGGTAACACTTTGACCATGGTGGACCTCGTGCAGAGCCCCCGAGTTGCCAGAGACAATAAGACCATTGCTATCAGTCAGGTGGACAGTGCCATGTGCAATGAACATGGGATCTACCTTTTCCAGGGCCCTCACTATTACTGGTACAAGGATGTGGCAGAACTGGAAGCTGCTACAGAACTCCCCAAAATTGGCATCGTCACCACTCAGTTTTTTGACTGTTAGAAGCAAACTGTGTATGGAGAGGGACTTTCTATGATTGTTCCAGTAATGATGAGGATGTGTCATTCTGTCCTAATGTTATTTGCTAATTTGTATTATAGTGAGATATGTTCTAAGCTCGTTGTGGTCATTCTGGATTTATTTACTTTATCGTTTACTTGCTCTCATTTTGTAATTCATTCACACTGTGTCCCTCAATCTTTTACCGAATTGATCTACTAATAAACATGGAATGGAAATCCTGATCTTGTTATAGCGTTTATGGTGGTAGTGGTAAAACACAAACATTATGGCTGTGGAAGACATTCTCTGCCTGACGCTTTACACCTGATAACGGTTCTTCTAAATTTATCTTGATAAAGTGTATAAACGGTGTATGCAGTAAATAATACAATTATAAACAGACTGAACTGACTCTTCCAATTCAAAATACTAATGTGAATCTACATGAAGGATGTGTCTTTTGCACATAAATTCATATTGTGCAGTTCTTTTGTGAGTGGCTGTCTTTGTTTATAAATTATTTAGTTATTTGCATTAAATACTACACTGTAAGTGTCCATTTTCTCTCTCTTTTATTGATATGCTGCTAAACCAAAATGGTAAGTGGTTGTAATAAATGATAAGGTAAATAAACACCATCGTATAGTGCTTGCCCTTTTTATTGTGCAAACTACACTCTTTATGATACCCCAACTCTTCCCAAATAATCCTTTTATCTCCAAATGTTTGTATTCAAGACAGAAACAGGTGGACACAAAAACAGTCAATGGTAAGAAAATACACAATGAACAATGTGGTTGTGCAAGCTCTATGTCTTGTGATAGAGTAAATGGTGTTGTATGTGAGGGTGTTTATTTCACTGCTAATTTCCTCAGGCATATGATATTTAGCCCCAGGGGGAGTATGAGTTGTAGGTGTTGTATGCAACACAAACTAGAGTTTAGTTATGGACGCCTGGGGTGGAGCATTCTCAGAGTAGGGCGGGCTGGTGCTCCACTCCTAAGTTTATACACAACTGGGAGAAATCAGGTCCAGGCCAGAGTTTTTGGAACTGTCTCCAACCCACTGCTCAGCTGCAGATAATCAGCTGTAGCAGTGGGAATAAACCCCTACCTGCTCGGCAGGTAAAAGGGAGATTTTTTGGTTCTCTCTCTGAATGGTTGGAAGTGGCAGGCTAGCTGAGAGCACTGGAGTGCAGAAAGGAGAGCAGAGGGTTGTTAGTTTAACTCATGATAGAGAGGGATATTAAAAGTTAGTCAGTGCTCAGACAAGCTAGGTTTTTGTTTAAATTTATTTATGTTTCTTTATTTGTGTTGCTGTCCCCTGTGTGGACTTACCAATAAAGTGCCTGGATTATGTGAAAATAAAAGGACTGTGCCTGTTGTTTACCCTAGAGGACAGTGGCATACACACAACCCATGGGGCCCCGGTGCGAAAACTGATCCGTCGCCCCCTCCCCCCGTTCCCGTGCAGAGTACTTACTCTCCACGGGCCGGGGCCGCAACACATGGCGGTAATGCTTTCCTATGGGCGGTTTGACTGCGCATGCAGCTCTTGCCGCGCATGCGCATTCGGAGCTAAGAGGCGGATCGGGGCAGAGAGATCTCCAGCGCCAAGGGAGTCCGGCGCTGGAGAAAGGTAAGTGCTGAAGACACACACACACACTCACGAACAGATGCATACACACTAGCTAACAGACACACACATTTACTGACAGACACACACTCAGTGACAGACATACATACACACTCACTAACATACACCAAACAGACTCACTAACAGACACTCTAACACTAACACACACATACACACACTCTAACACACACACACTAACACACACTCTCTAACACTAACACACACACACTCTAACACACACACACTCTAACACTAACACACACACCAACACACACACACTAACACACACACTAACACACACACACTAACACACACACACTCTAACAATAACACTAACACACACACTCTAACACTAACACACACACTAACACACACATTAACACACACGGTTTAAAAAAAATTTAATCCCCCCAGCCTCCCTACCTTTGGGAGTGCTGAGGGGGTTCCCTGGGGTCCAGTGGTGTCACCAGGCGGGCGGGCAGGCTGGCGGGCGCGCGAGGGAGCATTCTCCCCTGAGTGCTTCCTCTTCAGCTCCCTCGCGCGCACCGCACTGATGCAGGAGCCGGAAGATGACTTCATCTTCTGTCTCCGGTATCAGTGCGGTGTGCAAGGGAGCTGAAGAGGAAGCACTCAGGGGAGAGTGCTCCCTCATGCACCCGCCAGCCTGACTGCCCGCCGGGTGACACCAGGACCAGCCTCGGGGGGGCCCTGAGGTGGCCAGCCCCTGGGCCCCCAGGAGAAGAGGCTGGCCACAGTGGGTACATACCAGGTCACAGGGCGGCCGGGCCCGCGACCCCGGTATGTATGCCACTGCTAGAGGACCATGCTGTCTGCAAACAAGGATCACAGACTGGACAAAATGTAACCCTCAAATATTGTATCTAATAAGGTACTCGGTATTCCATACACATAAAAGGGAAAACGATTAAATGCAATCTATCGTGTAATATGTTAAACAATATCAAAAGAGAAAAAACCAATTTATTTAGACTGGAGCTGTTGTGTGCACAGTCGGCCAAAATTATGACTTCCATGGAAATCCCGAACCCCTGAACCGATCTGGGTGATTTTTGATATGTTGGTCCCCCAGATCGGGGCTATCAGGGGGTATGACTTTTGTGGGGTTTCCATGTGTTTTGGGGGTACTTTTGGGTAATTGTAAAATATATTGGATTTACCAGGAAAGGTTAAAGGATCTTAACATGTATAGCTTGGAGGAAAGACGAGACAGGGGGGATATGATAGAAACATTTAAATATATAAAGGGAATCAACACAGTAAAGGAGGAGACTATATTTAAAAGAAGAAAAACTACCACAACAAGAGGACATAGTCTTAAATTAGAGGGACAAAGGTTTAAAATAATATCAGAAAGTATTACTTTACTGAGAGGGTAGTGGATGCATGGAATAGCCTTCCAGCTGAAGTGGTAGAGGTTAACACAGTAAAGGAGTTTAAGCATGCGTGGGATAGGCATAAGGCTATCCTAACTATAAGATAAGGCCAGGGACCAATGAAAGTATTTAGAAAATTGGGCAGACTAGATGGGCCGAATGGTTCTTATCTGCCGTCACATTCTATGTTTCTATATGTTTTCTGTGCCTGGAGATTATTGAGTTTAGTACAGTTCCTGACTCAATTATCTCTCAGGCACAAGGGAGGGATTGTCCTGTTTTGTGTGGGAGTGTCCTGGACCTGATAGCCAATGTAATTACAGTGTGTACTTTCACAGTCCCCTCTCAGGTCCAATGGGGAATGCCCCTGGAATATGTTATGGAAAACTCCTTGAATGGGGACTTGCATATAAGGCCAGTTGTGGCTGCCATTAAACAGTTCAACTTCACCCTAAACACAGAACCTCGTCTCGTGATTGTAGGGAACAGCTATACCAGCTATATCACTAGCTCTTGTAAGAGCTATCCTGCTATACTTTCTGGAAGCTGGATCCCTGATCTACCCACTGAAAGCTGGATCCCTGACTTGGGTCCAGGGTGGGTGGAGGAAAGTGGAGGAAAGCTGCAGTGGTCTACAGTGCTGATGGTGTCTGGTGGAGTGCTTGAAAGTACTTGGAGGTACTAGGAAGCAGTGATTGGCGGAGGCACCCCGTTCGGGTGCTAGGCGGTCCGTTACAATACTATTCTATATATTCGATTAATTTCTTTACCTTTTTGTGTATTGAATGTGAAATACCTTATTAGAATTTATACCATTTTAAAGTATTGCCCGGATTTATAACATAACGTAGACACATTTTAATTACCCCTTGATGTTTGGGGTGTATTTTCTAAGAGAAACACACAGAACTGTTTAAAATTTTATTTTCCAATCTTGTTAACGGCAAAAAAAATGTTTTGATTGTGGCATGACAATTTAGGACAGGCAAATTAATCTCCAATGGTATGGTTTTACGTGGACATGGTAATACAGAAGCAGAGATTAATTTATCCTTATATAAGGAGGACACAGAGCAATCCCAGTAAAACAGAGTTACTAGTACAGAAAAAACGTCAGTGAAACAGGGATGGGAGGCCCATTTCTGATGCCAGTTGTTGCTATTATTCACTATCACCACTATAAGTTATGAACCCAGTCCATTTCTACCACAAAAATTTAAAGGGATGAATAAAGTATACAATACATATAGGGGTGTAATTAATATTTTATTAGAAACATACTGAAAAGCAAAAAACAAAAACAAAAGATTACATTTCTATTTTTTTTACCCAAAGATACAGACTGTGCCATATGCCATGCGGTGCTTGTATTCATATAAGACAAAAGAAGCTGGGGGGAAGTTCCCACTCATTTCCAGCTTCCCAGGCACAGTGTGAATGGTTATCCCTTTGCCTAAACCTTTAGACAGCTTCTGAAGCATACGTTGGGCGAGGTAGCGCTTGGCAAAACCTGGATCAGCCTCAATGTTGGCATAGACATCCGGAGGTGGATTTGGGATTTTCCATTCTAGATCTCCAATCAACTGATGTGTTTTCCCTTTGTCTAAGGACACTGGGTTCTCACTGTAGCAAAGGACGACTTGGGTTCCACACTCTCCCCTTACTGAAATGTAACTGCCATTTACTAGGACCTCCTCAGGTTTGTCCTCCGAAGGATGGGACACCATCACTGCCCAGCGCAGCCAGTCATAGTTCTTCTCAATCATCTTGAAAACAGCTACTGCTTTCTCCTGGTCTGTGAGGGACTCATGGGCTGGCAAAAACTTTTCCACATCTTCTTGGGCCTGTTCCTTAAAATATGATGCACAATCTTTTGATGTTTCCTCCATTCTCCGATAAAGAGCTGTCATCTTGTCTGTCCATCTGCCCATCATCAATCGAGTGTCTCTGCCAGTTAAAGAACCATGTACAAAAACACACAGCAAGCCTGTGCTGAGAACAAAATTAATCTTTTGGCAGAATGCTATCATTTCCCACCGGCGTGGGTGGTGATCCTGAATAACTTGCTGAAGGAGAGTGGCCTGATCTGCCAGAACAGAGATTCCAAGCAGACGATTATAGAGCGCATTCACCTGTCTTTCAATCTTGTAATCTTGTACATACTGCAGGAAAACCTCCTTCTCCTTCTCGGAGTAAGACTTCTCTGCTCGAATGACAGCACTCAACTGCTGGTAGACCACGGTCATATCATCTTCACATCTGGTGACATCAGTGTCTCTCATCAATCCCTTTCCTGCTGCCAACTCCTTGTCAATAGACTCCAGGCTTTTTTTCACAATCTCCAATTCTTCAGCTGTAGCTGAGCCATTAATCTGAGCCACTATTCCTAGCACAACAGAGTTTATTGACTGGACATAGCTCACTGATTCCCAAGCTTTACCAAACTGAGCCATGATCAATCCAAATCTCAGTCGTCAGTCTCAGGTTCGTGGTTCTGCCAGTAAACATTGGAAAATAAAAGAAAAAAAGAGTAATAAAACATAATGAGGGAAAGGAAACATGGCTTTGATTAATTTTCACATTTTGTCATGAGAATTCTTCAATTCCCCTACCTGTCTATATACCAACATTACCTCCTACCTGTCTGTATACCAACATTACTTTCTACCTGTCTATATATTAACATTACCTTCTACCTGTCTATATACCAACATTACCTCCTACCTGTCTGTATACCAACATTACTTTCTACCTGTCTATATATTAACATTACCTTCTACCTGTCTATATACCAACATTACTTCCTACCTGTCTATATAATAACATCACCTTCTACCTGTCTATATACCAACATCACTTTCTACCTGTCTGTATACCAACATTACTTTCTACCTGTCTGTATACCAACATTACCGTCTACCTGTCTATATATTAACATCACTTTCTACCCGTCTCTATATTAACATCACTTTCTACCTGTCTATATATTAACATCACTTTCTACCTGTCTATATATTAATATTACCTTCTACCTGTCTGTATACCAACATCACTTTCTACCCGTCTCTATATTAACATCACTTTCTACCCGTCTCTATATTAACATCACTTTCTACCTGTCTATATATTAACATCACTTTCTACCTGTCTCTATATTAACATTACCTTCTACCTGTCTATATATTAACATTACCTTCTACCTGTCTATATATTAACATCACTTTCTACCTGTCTATATACCAACATCACTTACTACCTGTCTATATATTAACATCACTTTCTACCTATCTATATATTAACATTACTTTCTACCTGTCTATATATTAACATCACTTTCTACCTGTCTATATACCAACATCACTTTCTACCTGTCTATATATTAACATCACTTTCCACCTGTCTATATACCAACATCACTTACTACCTGTCTATATATTAACATTACTTTTTACCTGTCTATATATTAACATCACTTTCTACCTGTCTCTATATTAACATTACCTTGTACCTGTCTCTATATTAACATTACCTTCTACCTGTCTATATATTAACATCACTTTCTACCTGTCTCTATATTAACATCACTTGCTACCTGTCTATATATTAACATTACCTTCTACCTGTCTATATATTAACATCACTTTCTACCTGTCTATATATTAACATTACCTTCTACCTGTCTATATATTAACATCACTTTCTACCTGTCTCTATATTAACATCACTTGCTACCTGTCTATATATTAACATCACTTTCTACCTGTCTATATATTAATATTACCTTCTACCTGTCTATATATTAACATCACTTTCTACCCGTCTATATATTAACATCACTTTCTACCTGTCTCTATATTAACATCACTTTCTACCTGTCTATATATTAACATCACTTTCTACCTGTCTATATAGTAGCATTACCTTCTACCTGTTTACTTGTCTATATACTATAATCTCCTTCTACCTGTCTGCATATCATGGAGACATTATGCCAGCCTTCATAGGTGTATTACCAATTGTAAACAGTTACTGTTTTCCAACAATATGCCCCTCACACTGTCTGTAAACATTTACTGCTGACACACAATATGCCCCTCACACTGTCTGTAAACATTTACTGCTGACACACAATATGCCCCTCACACACATTACACTGTCTGTACGCACTCACTGCTGACACACAATATGCCCCTCACACACATTACACTGTCTGCACGCACTTACTGCTGACAGACAATATGTCCCTCACACACATTACACTGTCTGTACACACTTACTGCTGACACACAATATGCCCCTCACACACATTACACTGTTTGCACGCACTTACTGCTGACACACAATATGTCCCTCACACACATTACTGTCTGTACGCAGTTACTGCTGACAGACAATATGCCCCTCACACACATTACACTGTTTGCACGCACTTACTGCTGACACACAATATGTCCCTCACACACATTACTGTCTGTACGCAGTTACTGCTGACAGACAATATGCCCCTCACACACATTACACTGTTTGCACGCACTTACTGCTGACACACAATATGTCCCTCACACACATTACTGTCTGTACGCAGTTACTGCTGACAGACAATATGCCCCTCACACACATTACACTGTTTGCACGCACTTACTGCTGACACACAATATGTCCCTCACACACATTACTGTCTGTACGCAGTTACTGCTGACAGACAATATGCTCCTCACACACATTACACTGTCTGTACGCACTCACTGCTGACACACAATATGCCCCTCACACACATTACACTGTCTGTACGCACTTACTGATGACACGCAATATGCCCCTCACACACATTACACTGTCTGTACCCACTTACTGTTGCTGAGTTAATGGTTTGCTTACCACTTGCTGTACTCCGATGTGTCGTGTTTTATTTATTAAAGAGTGATGCTGCCTGTCTGTCGTCTGTACTCTGTCTGTAGTTTGTACTGTCTTTACAGCTCTCTGTCGTCTGTCCTGCACTGTCTTTGTGCTGACCTAAGTCTGTGCTACGTTTTGTGTTTGTAGTCCTTCCCATGATCTTGGCAGAGATGGTATATGATTATCTTATCACTATCTGCAGGCAGGTGACAAACCATGAACAATAGTATGGCTAGTAATTGGCCACCATCCCACCAGACAAGGGAGTTTACAGCACACAGGTGACTATAGGACACAGCGACATTACTAAGTCAATATTTGAGAGAACGAGATTGCAGAATCTCAGTAAGGAGCCTTTACTTTATCAGTGAACTTCATACTGACATTGTTTGGAACGCTTTACCATAATGAGTCAATATAATGGTAGTCCTTACTAACCAAAATAAGGTATCTATAGTAGTATCTGAGGTAGGATCTCCTTAATGGTTGCCATAGTAGGGTCTCTTTGAGGGTAGTCAGGATAGGACCGCTATGGTGGTACCTAGGTTTAATTTCTCTTTGGTGCTAATTTTGGTAAGGTCTCTATGGTGGTAATTGGGGTTGGGTATCTATGGCAGTGGTCTTGGTATGGTAGTAGTCAGGGTAGGGATTCTATAATGGTATTTGATTTTAGGGCCTATATGGCATTAGTTGGGCTAAGACCACCCATGTTATATTTGTAGTAGGCTGTCTATGGGGTGGGG